AAGAGAAAGCAAGAAGGGCTTTCCATGCCATTAAAAATCTATTCAATTTCAAATGCCAATTAGATTCTGGCTCAAAATATTCCAGGCAATTATAGAACCAATTGTACTATATGGCAGTGAAGTATGGGGTCCTCTCCTAAATCATGAAATCGAAAAATGGGACAAAAAAACACAATTGAAGCCCTGCATACAGAGTTCTTTAAAAGCATCCTCAAGGTACAGCAGAACACACCTGACAGTGCATGCAGGGCAGAATTAGGCCAATACCCTCTATTAATCCACATTGATAAAAGAGCCATCAAATTTTGGAAAACATCTAAAATTGAGAGACTCCACCTCTTATCATTTTAAAGCCCTGAAAAACCATGAAATGAACACTGAAAGCAGCCCCTCGCTCAGCTGGTATTGAGGCTCTACAAACAAACTAATCTAATCTAACACAAATAACAATAATCAGCCTCAGGACACTGACCCCCTCATCCACAGAATCTGGCCCAACCCAATGATTAATGCACAAAAAGAAAACTATTGGACTGGAACAACACAAAAACAAAGTAAACTACTATGTTATCTGGGTGTAAAACCTGCAGAATACAGCAGAACACCTGAGCATATTCAGAGACAATAAGCTGGCATGGTACATCGGCAAGGTACATCGATGAGTGCTACAAAAAAGAGGGAAGAGTCGACCAAACAGTGAAGTGGTGAGCTCACACACAAACACAGGCACACACACACACACACACACACAAACCACTCATAGCCCATAGACTGTACTTTTTTGTTGTTTGTTTATTTATTTTTTTATTTATTTATTATTTCTTCACTTGATAGTCCTATAATTTGTTCTCTGTTCAGGTTTTATCCTTTACCTGCATAAATGCTTTGACAAAACATTGTACAACACGTCATGCCACTAAAGCTCATTTGAAAAATGATATTAAATATGAATAATTTGATATAAAAAAGTGTTATAAAGTTAAAATCGTGAAAAATAAAGATTAAAAAGTCTTTATTGGCCAAATATGCACTAACACACTGTTTTCTTGACATGTGTATGTGCTTTTAAAATTGTGCGCTTCAAAAAGCTATTCAGAGAGTTTCAAGGCGCCAGGGGCTTGGGAAAGTGGTTTTTCTAACAAACGCATATATGCACTTGAGCGAAGTACTTTTCCATGACATTTTTCACATGTTTATGAAGATTAATAATATAAAACATGAATGTTTTTAATAAAATGCATTAATTGATATAAAATATTATTATTTTTTTTAAAATCAATTAATTGATATTAGAGTGTTATAAAGTCAATATCATGAAAAATAAAGTTTAGAACGTCATAGTTCTCAAAATTTGCACGAACACTTTGTTTTCTTAACAAATCTGTATGTACTTTTCGAAGTGTACGCTTGGTGGGCTGAAAACGCTATTCAGAGA